GCAAATATTGGTATAATATTTTCATACCAATATTGGCGAGACATAAAATGTGAACATTCGACGATATTGGCCTCGTCCTGTACACAGTATATTATCCTTTCACGAAAGGATTTATTATTATCAATCATCATTTTCATTAATATAAAATATGTAAATGAAATTGATTGTTCAGTACATGTAAAGTGCTCTATTTCTTGTTATTACAGATTATTTCCACATGTATGTATTAGGAATGCGAAATATCATGATCTATCGACATTTTCACAAAACAGAGTATCCCGTCGTGTTAAATCAAAAAAGGTTAGTATATTTTTGGTGATGCAAAGTTCCATGAATTTCGTCCTTTCCGTTTCAAAAATATATAATTGCATGGTTTCATACTTTATACCAATCCTATATATACATAATTCGAAGATATAGATAAATGTCAATGTCTAAACTTCATATTCCTTGAAATGACATCTACATGATTCTATAGCTGGAACATTTGCTTTGAACCGTGTTATTCGGTTCGGTAAATGAGAGATTCATATGGCTAGATTATATTTGAGCAGGATGATGGAGAGGTAAGTTTTTGCTGACAAAATGCCTTACAGTTGGGAAACTCATCAAGAAAATGAACCAAGAACCCCACATCTTGATTAGAATTTCTCATTTTCATGCAATCAACAGTGGATCTAATGTCTTATATTTCATTTTGTTTGTATAGTGAATACGAAAATCTCCTGTTTTGCCAACATTGAGAAATAAATCATGGTTGTTGGAGAAACCTGTACCCGACTTACTGTGCCATCACATTCATTTTCTAATATTTCAATATCTTTTGCGGATATTCCAAATGAACAATTATCGGCGTATGCAGTATAATGATTGTCCGTAATACCTAACACTGTTCAAACAATCAACATATAGAATGAACAAAACGGGACCCAATACGGATCCCTGTGGTACCCCCAACGACCGCATGGCAGGTCTATCAGCCAATATTTGTTATATGGAAGATTTGTTAATAACTTTATACACCACTTTACGAAGCAGCATTGTTGATATGAAAGGAAGAGTGAATCGTAGGAGAAATGTAACTATTGGCCCTATATATTCTGTTATCCCTAACCGAGTCCCTAACTGTTTCGATAGATCGCCATATAGGGGGCTCATATTATCTGAATATTCCAAAGGTTTTAGCCAATTTAGGAAAGCTATTATAATTATTTGAATTTATTTCCCATTTCCAGCAGTCTCGAAATCCTCAGTTCGAATAATATTTTCGTAATTAAATTCATTCATGATATATTGAATGGCTTTGTATTATGTGAATTCGTTCTTTCACAGGCGAAGGACAAAACTTGATAAAGTCTTCAAGAATTTAGGTATTTCACGGATTCTCATGTGATTAAAATTACTATTCTAGCTCTTTCCGATAACTTAAATCATCTTAAATAAATCGTAAATTTTATTTATTGTTTCTAACAACGCATTCTCCGAGGATTATTCACTCATCAACCTGCTAATTGGTGTCATACAAATATGCTGTTACAAACAAAATTTTGTGAAACTTCTCAGGTGATTTGACATGGCCAAAAAATAAAAAATGAAAATACGTTCACGTACGTGTTAAAATAAAAATAAAGCTGTTGAATAATTGTGATATCGGCACCTTCACCACATATTGGAAACTAATTCCGGATTGATGGAATTTACAATTAGCTCGCGTTCAGCTTTTTTCACTGACAGACATCGTAGGTGGTAGGACATAATAATTGGATTACAGCCAATGTTGCAATGTGATCGAAACGAATGATTTTCTATTTAATCCAGGAACATTGTCATCAAAAAAGGGTCCACCTTCCATGGTTTAGGGGAGTAGATTTTTTTTCCATTTTGTTTGGGACAGTAACTACAGAGATGAAAATCAGCACTAGTTTCAGATTTCGCCAATTTTGACCTTGTAGGAGTCTACTTTTCCAACAAAGACTTATCAATTTCTGAAGTACATAAAATTTCCTGAACTGCACTATACGATTCATCAGTATATAATTTAGAACTATGAGGGTTTTATGAACATAAAGTTAATCAAATCATCCGTTGACATCGAACTATGAAAACTGACCAAGGAACTCTCATGAGAAACGTGCAAATCTAATAAAATGATGTGTATAAATATTGGATGTGAGGGTTCTGGTCTGGGGCTACTCTTGACTTGACAAGAACTCGTAATGGTCATTATTATAATGTAAGTTGCTATTAGGTCTTTATATCCATTGTTATTCTTTTATATTCATCATCACTTCTCATACTGAGCTCATACTTTCAGTTACCCCTAAACTATTAGTACCTACCAATTCGAATATTACCTCTCGCAAACTATTAAGCCAAACTAATCCCTTATAAATCGATATGGGTAAGATACCAACCACCCTTTCATCGCGACGATGGGAATAACGATTATATCGTGACATTACTGTAGACAGAGATCATACATTGTAAGTCTAATTGTTCACGAGATACGGCTTTTCAAAGTTGGTCACAAAAGGGTGTCATTCAACGAGAAAGAAACACACAAATATAAATGCAATTAACATGTCGCACGTGGACGGTGATAGCACTTACTTCTTCACTTTTGCACCATCCAACAGCGACATGTTTTTTGTATCTTCTGTACAGTGTGTCCAGTTTTCGATGCTTTTGCGTGATATCTCAGTCATCTTTGGAGATAGAACTCAAGATGTTCTAATCAGATTTTGCAGGACTCTGTTTCCGTTTATGAGATACAGGGCGATTTTGAAAATCTATAGTTTTTGGACCCCCTCTATATATCTACGAAGTTTATCAGCGAAAATGTCAAGTTGAAATCTTATTCCATAGAGAATTTTATACAGAATCCAGTGGCGCACGCAAATTTCTTAATTTCTTCCCTTCAAAATGATATAGGTATAATGTATCAATATAAGATTTTTCAAAATGTTCAAAAATCACTAAAACATTGAATTTCAATAGTAGGCTATGGGTTTTTCGAGGGATTTTCATGTGGAGAAATTTTCAATTGAAGGAATATTTCCGTTGATTGTTCCATGAAGGGGTTAATAACAGTTTCGACACTAATTGACTTACAAAACACAAGACTTAGATACATGATATCCACAAATATTATAGAAATAAAAAGTTCACAATGTAGATTATTTGTTGCTATCAGGTACCCGAGTTTTGTGTTTTGTTAATGAACTAGTGTTGAAATTGGTTTGGATTTTTTCATGAAATAATTCATAGATATTTCTTCAATTGGAACGTTCTTTATATAAAAAATTCATAGCCCACTATTAAAATTCAATATTTTAGTGATTTTTGATCATTTATATTTATTCATCATATAACATTTTGAAGGCAAAAAAATTAGGAATTTAATGCATACCCCGAAAATAAAATTGATTGCGCCACTGGATTCTGCGTAAAATTCTCTATGCGATAAGATTCTAATTTGACATTTTTGCTGAAAAACTTCGTAGATATAGAGGGGGGGTCCAAAAAGTATAAATTTCCAAAATCACCCTGTATCTCATAAACGGAAACAGTCTTGTAAAATCTGATGAGGCCCTCTTGAGTTTCTTGAGAAAAACTGCAAGGTTCTATCTCCAAAGATAACTGAGATATCACGCGTAAGCATCGAATACTAGACACACTGTACAGGGCTAGTTTTATTAATGTGAACCCCCCTCTATATTTTTTGTTTTCCACCTATTCAAAAAATTTCAATGCTGATTTTATACAATTTTTTGCACAGATTTCACTCATTTTGACAATGATGCAATATCTATTCAAATATACAGGGTGTACAGAAATAAATATATTTTTCAAATGGAATGCCCTGTATATTTCGATGAATTCGAATTTCCTAAATCATTCTGATTTCGAACATATATATAGAAGGATTTTCATCAATAAAAATATACAGCGCATTCTATATAAAAAAATCAATATATTTCTGTATACCCTGTATTTTTGAAGAGATATTGCAACACTCTCTCAATATGATCAAAACCAATATGGAATATCGTAAAAAAATCAGTTTTGAATCTTCTTGAATGGATAGAAAACAAAGAAGATGAAAGGGTGTTGTCATGAAGCAGAAATCCTGCACTGTGTCTTTACCCAATGGTTTTTTATACATAGTCGTGAACAGATTTTTCTGAAATTTGGTACAGTTATATAAGCAACCATTTCGGATTTGATGATATTTCAATCTGATATGGCGGACTTCCGGTTTTTCCGGAAATGCCAGCGACTTTGTATTCTCAAATGGAACACCCTGTATATCTTGACATATTCTAGTTCAACAGTTCAAGACGAGTGCAATCTTTATGTCGAATTTCATTTTCTCTAAAATGTTGAAATTGAAATTGTTATTTGTCTCGTGGATAAATGAGATATGGTCGAAAATATTCACAATGAGTCCCACATACTAGAGAAACATATTTTTTTCTGAAGAATTACTTTTCGTGTCACATCAATGAACCATTTCAGTAACATCACATTTGATAAAAAAAAACGATGTTTTCAAAAAATAGATCTCTTATGAGCCACCTACATGTCTCTCTATAGAACCTACATAAGGAAAAAGATGAAATCATTTTTGAATTTCGGTGCAGTAACAATTTGTATACATTGTAAAATAAACAACTTATAGTTTCATGATTTTCCTAGCAGTTCGAATAATTTTTCAAGTAAGCTGTGGAAAACAACATTTCTGAATCTTGTCATAAGATTGCACTTGTTTTAACCTGTTGAATTTGAATATGTAAAAATATACGGAAAAACGGGATGTCGGCCATATTGGATTGTAATGTCATCAAATCCGAAATGGTTGTTTACTTACCATTTCAGAAAAATCCGTTTACGACTGAGGTGGCCCGATACCCTGTGTCACCCGGTATTAAAATAATTGGAATATCACTTCACAGATGCTTGACAATAAACAAATTGAGATACGAATAATTGATATTTACCTTTTTACTTGTTTTGAAGACAGCACATTTGAACACGTTGGATGCTCCATCTCTTGCTATATAACTAAATATTTTAAGGTCTTGAGAGTCGTGCGATACGTAAAACACCCTGTAGATGGGATGGTGAAGCAGAAGCGATTTTCCATCATCGAGCCAATGTTTTCTCTGAAAAAAAAAGGAGATCATTATTGATTAAAGAAAAACTGAATTTTTCTTGTCATTGTAACTCAACGAGTAATGCTATATCCTATTGGAATTGACGAACATTAAATATACTTGAAAATACTGAATTCGCTAATGTTTAGTCATATCCTTGGTCATATCTTGAATTTTATTATTTTGTCGTAATCCCATACTGTTATTTTGACTTGACGGTATTCAGATGACAATTGAAAAGTTAATGTTAACAGCCTCCGGTCGTTAACTCCAGAATGGAAATGTAATCAAAAGCCTTGAACGACACACAGCCGATACGGTTGTTATAATCCTCGGCTGCGCTTCGGATTACAATATTCAACCTCATCCGTTATTTGCTACATATCGGCATTGTGACGTTAATAACTATTTCGTAATCCCAGACTGTTATTTTGAATCAACGGCATTCAGATGGCAATGTCCATTAAGATACTGGGTAGGTCTTTTGAAAAAATAAATGAATATGAATTTCAAAATGAGAGTAGAAATCTCGTTCGATTTTTTATTATACGAAGATCTCGACGAAGACATATACCAAGAATAATTGCTGAGTAATGGATTTCAATGGGAATGGCAGTAACTCCCGTATTTCATGAAAACCCTTGAAAATCTGGATAACGTTCCATAAATGGATAAGTTCGATAACCCGCTGGGGTTAACCAAATCTCGTCCTTTGAATTCGTAATCCCAGGACAAATATACCGTCTCCGGAAAGGATGCTGCAAAATGAAAGAATCGCAGAGAGATATATTGTGTTCGTTGTCAGTTGCCACGTGAATGGCCAGACCTTTTTTTGATATTTTGTTAGACCCGACAATCTTTTCAATTGGGCTAAGAAGTAATTTGACCTTTTTGGATTCAAAACCAACATGATCTTTGATTCAAGCGTATTAATAGACTTCAAGTCGAGATTATTTTCTTGATTCAAGTATAAGGCGGTAATTAAAAGGGAATAGTTATTCATACACCAAGGTACTAACAAATATTATCATTACCCAGGGACCAAGATTATATCCCGAGGCTTCTGCCGAGGGTTATAGGCGGGCCCCGTGGTATAATAGTAATCTATACAACCACGATGTATATTAAATGATTTTCACTACTAGCAAAATATTTCAATCATTATATAGTTCTGTGAATCTGAAATGTGAACCTATGTCACTATGATAGCACTTCTTTTCAATTCTAATTAAAATTTAGTCATATACTAGATTCGAATGTCATTCCTGTGAATATGGCATCAGAACAGTGAATTCGAGTCAATTATAACAGAGGTAGGTGGCTATGTATCCGTGTGGTGGTTCTATCCGTGTGGTGGTCAGATTAGAATGACCCCACGGTAAGTCCTGCCTGCCGTAGAAGGCGACTAAAAGGACGCCAATAGGTGGAAGGTTAACGCCATCGCCCGGTGCGATACCACCACATCAACCATAGGCACTGTGAAATGAGTATACTTACCCGTGTTTCAGTAGCTGGTTGATGTTCCGGCCAACCCAACCCAATTTCCTTTTCCTTCCACGCCAACCTCCCTTCTCTATACAGAATAAGCGATTATGAGTTCTCCTCAAGTAAAATTATCCGGAAGTAAAATACCTCTCCATTCGGATTTCCGGGCGAGAGGTGCTGGAGGGGGTTCAACATCGACTGAAAAAGTCCTCAAGATAGACCTATGTAACATCCGAGGTCTAAGTAAGAACATCAACGATGTCCATCGACACCTTCAAATTGGAAAGCCAGACATAATGGCTCTTACTGAGACACAGGTCAATTCATCCAACAATACGACCTATCTGCTCTGTCCTGGGTACGAACTCCACACACGTTTCAGATTCAAGGGAGGTCTCTGCCTCTACTCTACAACGAATCTCTCATGTCAACGAGAAAAAACTTTGGAACCAAATAAGTTTGATGTCATGTGGTTCGAACTCGATAGCCAGAAACAGACCAAATACCTTCGTTGTCTCTACTTATCACCAAATGATCCATCCAATGAAGAGCTTTTCGAATTCATGTCTCTGAAGCTTGACCAAATTCAACAGAACCATCCAGCAGCAGAAATCATCATCATGGGCGATTTCAATGTACACAACACTGCTTGGCTCGTACACTCTAACAGAACGGATGAAGCTGGGCGACAAGCCGAAGCTTTCGCCATCACTCACGGCTTAGAGCAGCTTATCAAAGAACCCACACGAATTCCCGATGCCAATAACCATTCAGCTAACATACTTGACTTATTCCTCACGAATAATTCAGCACCCTACACCATAGATATACGAGCTCCACTTGGCAATTCTGACCACACACTCATCTCCACAACCTGCCCATTCATCATTCCATCAACTGCTCCGGCACCCCCACGTCTTATATGGCATTACAATTCAGAAGATTGGGACGGTCTCCGCATGTTTTTCTCCGAGTTTCCTTGGCATAGAGTATGTTTTGACTCTGAGGACCCTCCACAGTATGCTGCGGAAATATCCGAGATCATCATGCTCGGAATGGACACATATTTACCTCATTCTTCGAGAAGATCATCACCATCGAAACCCTGGTTCAACAAAAACTGTTCTAGAACTGTTGCCTTGAAACAAACAGCCTACCATCGCTGGCGCAAAAAACCTTACCTCGCGACTAGAGCAGAATACGTTGATTCCAGGAATAACTTCAGCCAAACGATAGATGCTTCGAAAGAAACATACAATGCCAAGATAAGATCGAAACTCAAAGATAGTCCCAATGGCTCCCGTTCGTTTTGGTCCCTTGCTAAAGCGGTCGGAAGAGATTTCACTAATAGTTCATTTCCACCACTGTCTAAATCCGACGGCACATTAGCAACAACATCGCAGGAGAAAGCAAATATTTTTGCAGAGATGTTCGCATCAAACTCTACTTTAGATTCCCAAGGAAAAGTGCCGCCAGACATTCCACCGGTTGAGAGTTGAATGCCTGAAATCGTCTTCCGTCAACGCACTATTTTGCTTGGTCTCAAAACGAATAAGGCTAACGGTCCTGATGGAATTCCACCCATTTTCCTCGAAAAATGTGCACCAGAATCAACACCGATTCTCTGCAAGTTGTTTACCGTCTCGTACAGGTCGGGTAATTTTCCATCATGCTGGAAGACAGCTAGAGTCCAACCAATCCAAAAAAAAAAAGGGAACAAGAATCTGCCCAACAACTACAGGCCTATTGCCCTGATATCAGGAATCTCCAAAGTGATGGAGAAAGCCATCAACATTGAGCTTATCAAATATCTGGAGTGCTCAGGAATCATCAATGATTGACAATACGGCTCTCGCCACCGACGATCTACTGGAGATCTACTTGCGTCACCCATTTATGGCAAGCTTCATTAGAAAAGCACGGGGAATCTCTAGCTGTCGCGTTGGACATATCGAAAGCATTTGACCGTGTTTGGCACGAAGGACTCCTCCACAAACTACCATCATACGGCTTACCACCTCAGCTATGCCATCTCTTATCGAGTTTTCTTTCAGGCAGATCGCTTCATGTGGTAGTGGACGGTGTATCGTCTGATACCATTGGCATCAATTCCGGCGTTTCACAAGGATCAATTTCGGCACCAACATTATTCTTTCTTCATATCAATGATCTGTTTGGAGTGAAAACTTGCCCCATCCACAGCTTTGCAGATGATAGTACTTTCCATACTGCGTTTTCTTCCAGAATTCCCATTTCTTCCCAGGAAACTAAGAACTCACGGCGCAGGCAGGTCAATGCTGTCAATGAAGACATTGCTGAAATCACAGCCTGGGGAACTAACAACCTAGTTGAATTCAACGCCACCAAAACTCAAGCCTGTATTTTCTCTAGAAAGGCGGAACTCAGTATGCCCGACATTGTAATGTCAGTGTATATATTATATATGTGATATATATCCGGGAAAAAAGTAATTTTTCAAAAGTGACATTTTATAACCTGCCAACAGAAATGAAATGCCAGACTTTTTTCCCGTCACAGAAAAAATACTCTCATGAACTTCAGGCTTTTGAAGGATACATTTGATCCCTATTCTCGGGAAAAAAGTGGTACTTTAAATCCCTAGGGACTTCCCCGAAACCTTTATCACCATATAGATATGGAGGTCGTTGATATGGTAACAATCAGCCCCTTCGAGGACGTTTTGGAAATAGAGTACCCACCGTTTAGTGGCATTTATTTTGATTTCGTTATTTTTAACGTTTTATACCTATCCTATAAAGTGCATAAAATAGTATACTGGGTGGCACTGACTCAAGGTATACCCCCCTCTTCTCCTTTGGTTTTCTTACTATATTTTTGAAATTTGGAACATCGAATATTCTCACTAGAGGGCACTTTCTCACATTTTAGGAAACTTTTTTCATCTTCCGGTTCTTCTGGAAATGACATCAAGATATTCGCGTTCGTAGTTTCCATATATTATGCACAATGGGTGTAACGGCGCAATATCGAAACTTCTTTCTCTATCACACTCATTGATTTTGCGTGCCGTATCAAAGTTATACTCCTTCTTATAGCACACCTCATTGTATTTTATTGCATTTTCAGATTCCTCCTTATGAGCTGATTTCAACGACCTATCTCACACTTTAGTTTCAAGAGAAATTATCACAAAGAAATAGGGTACAAAAAATCGAGATTCTTCAACTTTCGGAATTTCATGTATGGAAAGTACTCATCATCTAGTGAGGTTTCCAGGTAAGTAGAATATTACGACCCACAATCACCTTTTTTTTATGTTTATTATTACTATTAGTTGAGACATTCATGACTGGAAAATATCTTCTATCATAGTATAAATGAGTATACAGTTTACAGTTTACTATGCAGTTTATAAGATGTTTCGAATTCCTCCTTTCAAGAACTAATCACTCTGTATCAATGAAGAGAGGAATCATCTGATCTCGTACTTTATCACATAGAATTCGATCTAGCAAAGCCTAATAATATTTCCTAGATAAACTCACCTTCTTCTTTTTCCTCAGTGTAACTTTAACTCCATCTACGGATACCTCTATTGTCACCTTCTTCTTCTTAATTCCTTTGGCTTTGAATTCGTACTGAAAACAAGAGAAGAATATGTTTCCTAATTATCCTAAAGTCAACTTAAGTAATAGCCGTTCATAACTAACTTATGTTCTAGTAGTTTCAAGTGCTGAAATGCAATTCATGAAGGCAGTGGCGAAGGAAGCTCTGCAGGGGCGTAATTTCAGTGGAGGGGTAAGGAACTTAGAAATAATTTTCGCACAGTAAAATATGCGCCGTAGACGAACTTTTTTTCGAGCTCAAGGTCAAAGGCCTTCAAATTAAAAATTAAATTTTTTCCAAGCCGATGACTTCAATCGCATAATATTATGTTACATATTATTAATTTCGTGTTCTCATTTCCTTTCAATTGAAACAAAATGATTTGAATTCTGTCTGCAGGTGAATTTTGATTTTTCGAGGTTTATTTAGATATTCTCGAGGAAATTCTATAACAATATGTCGTTTCTTCCAGACTAGTTCCAGATATATTTATAGTATACTATAAGGACACACAAGGTGTCACTGTGTATTAATATCCATGGAGTTAGTATCTCAGATTACTTTTCAGATATTCGAAAGTAATTGTTTTTTCATCATAGTGAAATTTTTTGACAATCTATACCTAATATAAACTGTTTTGATAACGAAAATGAAGAAATTTCATATGAATATAAATAAAACAGGAAGATCAAATTTGAAATTATCGTTTTGTAGAAAATCAGAATGACACCAATGCTCAAGCCTCAGGACATTGGGATTATACAGAGTGCCTCACTTCTAATGAAAACACCCCTGTATCTTTTGTGATTGTTCAGTTAGGATTCAAAAATTTGCAGGAGCGGGAGATAAAATGAAAATACACACTATAACCAAGTGGAGTCATCTTCAGTGATATACACTGCTCAACAACAGCCATATGGAACCACCCACATTTCCGTCAAATGATATTAAGAGGTGAGATAGGTTGAAAATCACTTCGGATTCGAAATCAGGACGTCCAATTCACTAACTATTTATGTTTCATGAAAAAAGTCTTCAGTTCTGAAAAATTAAATTTTGTCTAAGTTTTCATGGAAGCATTCGTATCTTACGTAATTATTGAGGTTTAGGGTTCTGAAATTTGCAGAAGAAAGGAGGAGCCGAAGATAAAGTCAATCACGTAAAATACGCGGGTACTTCCATAAGAAGTGAGGCAAAGTTCAATTTTCAGAACTGACATTTTTTGGACGTCCGGGCTTCGTATCCGAAGTTATTTTTAACCAATCTTGTCTCCTAAAATCATTTTCCGGAAATGTGGGTGAAAGCTCACGACAGGAAAGAATCACTTTCCACCTCGGTGTATAATATACTATATATCATGACGATTATCACGATGGAGGACGAACAGAAATAACTCTTGAATTTCTTTTTCAAAAATTTTAGCCGAGGTTTAACCGATCAATATTTGAAAAGAAAAGCTTCCGTTTCAACACGACGAGAAATCGCCAACGATAATAACTTTTCAAGTTATAAATATTCAATACTTTGGTAACATCATGGATGAGTTTAGTAATGATGAGCATGCCTTATGTATGGACTTGCAGAAACTTTCAAGGTCAATAACTCCGTAACAAAGTACGATAGACATTTTTTTATATAAAGCACTAACATTATTTAAGCTCACTCTATCATCCATATAATACAGGGTGTCCGCTTTTCGAGCTCCACCATGGGGATCTCAGTTATTATAAGAGAAACGAGGTCGGTTGAATCAGGGCAAAGTTGAGCATTTTCATGCTGAACATTCATCTGCAAGATAAGTCGATGTGTCATTTCCAGTTTTTGAATTATCTGAAGAAAACGAAAATTTTTATTTTCGTTTTTATTTTTTCAAGCGAAAACCAAGAGACCTATAGACGTTTCTGACTAGGACATTTTTAAGGCACTTTTTCACAAGAAATCGGAATCTGTCATCGTATTTTCCATAACGTTCTTGATGCCAAAATTACAACACTCAACTCAACTTAACTGTTTTTTTTTCATGATCGCCATATTGGATTTTTGCATTTTTGAAAAGTTTTTTTTTCTGATTAAAATGATGTATCACACGATATGATCGAATCTTTTCTGTTGATCAAAATTGGAAAAAATACATTTTTGCAAAGAATGCTTTGGAAGGAACACCAACAGTTTCATTAAACAAACTGAATTTTGACATTTCAATTGATGCGAGCAGAACTGTTGAATTCTTCTTATCCACATAATGCAAGAAGGGTTGCCGAGTGTCTGTCAGATATGTTTCCTGACAAGGTAATTTCCAACAACGGAGACATACGTTGGCCAGCGCGGTCACCTGATCTCTATCTGCTGGATTCTTATTTATTGGGAACTATGAAAGATTTGATTCCCAAAACTGTACCAATCGATATTGATGAGCTGAGAAGAACCATAATCACCACTTTCAGGACGAAGATAAGAAGACGGGACATCTCGGGAGCAATTCAGAATCTGAGGAAACGCGTATGTAGAATTGTGTTTGGAGGTGGAAGGTGGGGTATTCGAGCATCTTTTATATAGCTTTGTTCTGTTTTGTTTGGCGAGAAATAAACTTCTAGCTCATTACGTCGTTCTCAATTCGAAACCATAGTTTTCAAGTAGATGAGCTTGACGAAACTGTTGAAATTCAGTTTGTCAAACAAAACTGTTGGCGTTCTCTCCAAAGCACTCTTCGCAAAAATGTTTCTTTCCCATTTGCGAACATCAGGAGAGATTTGACTATATCGTGTGATACATCATTGGTATCAGAAAAATAAAAGACTTTTCAAAAATGCAAGAATCCAATATGGCGCCCATAAGAAAAAACAAAGTTGTGTGTTGTAACTTTGGCATCAAGAGCGTCATGGAGAATACAATGGCAGATTCAGATTCCTTGTAAAAAAGTGCCTTGAGAATGTCCCGAAACGGTTTCCGCTTGAAAAAATAAAAAAGAAAATTAGAAATTTTCGCTTTCTTCCATCATTTCAAAAACTAAAAATGACACATCAGAAGATGTTCTTTCAGATAAATGTTCAGCATGAAAATGCGCAACTTTGCCCTAATTTAACCGACCTCGTATCTCTCATAATAACTGATATCCCCATGGTGGTGCTCGAAAAGCGGACACCCTGTATATGCTATCTAACTAGTATGGGTAATGTTGGTGTTTGAGAAATAAATTACATTGCCTAAATCTAATAAAATGTTAATATGCCAGCTACTTACCCGTATTCTTCGCATGGCTGCGACAATTTCAACTTTACTTGTTGGTCTTGGTACATCCAACATGCCGATATACTGTAACAAAAAATAATATATCAATTTCAAACAAAATAAATTATTTCATCAATCGTAGAATGACTATTGGCAGGATAATCCTACTACTACTTCATATTGGAAAGCATCTGTACATAAATGCATCTTCAGAAGAAAAAAAAGTTTGCCGTCGACCTCGTATTAACGACTAAGTTTAATGTATATGAAATCGTTCTTTAATGAGGTCTATTAATGAACGATTTGTCTATTAATGCACGATTGTTTTATAGGCAACCAAACATACACCGCGTGCATTCATTGTTTATGTAACTTACGGAATCTGCATTTAAATCGAAAATATGGATTTCATCGACGATTTTCCGTTAACGCGTTCGCCTTTCCAAGTTTCCGACACGATTTTAATCCCTGTTTTCTAACACAAGGAATTTATTTCCTATGTTGATCATTTCTACAAATGTCAAATGTCACTAATGTCAGTGACAAGGTTACTGGGTGATTCTTAGCAGTTCCCGGATGGCTGATGAATTCGCGAACCAAGTTTTCTTCATTGCAGGAGAAATGAGAAATATAGTCGACAGAAAATTTTTGTAACCGACTTGTATATTAAAAGGCGATTAGTGATTTCGATCATTAATCGCCCTCATTAATACACTAGTTGGTTAAATAACTATTAATCACTCTCAGTGAATTACTGCCTTTATCGGGGCAGTTAAGTAGTTGTTCCACTTATTTCACATATTATGCTGATTGAGTTGACACAAAGAACAATATTTATTTCACAGAATCTATACAGGGTGATCCACGGTGGATGGACTAATATAACTATCTGGAGAACGAAAAAACAAAACATTCTGAAAATTGGGATGCTTTGAAAATTGAACATCTTCTATCCGTCTAAAATATTTTCATCGATACAGTGTTGCCACTTCTATCAGAAACAACCAGCAACTTTGTTATTTCAAATAGAACACCCTGTATTTTATCGCATTTTCAGATTCTTTCATCAATGTATCACACTTGGGCTCTAGCAGGAATGATTACAGAGATATAGGGTGTTCAAAATCGAGATTTTTCAATTTTAGGATTTTTTTGTGTCGAAACTATTCATTATCGATCAAAACGACCAACATGTCCCTATCTCAACTTTCGATGCACTATCTACTGGAATTTGATTGGACAGTGTGCTTCAAGATTCAGAATTCTAATCACCCTGTATCTGTTTCGATTAAATGTCAGTAGAGATAGTGAATCAAAAGTTAAGATAGGGACATGTAAGCCGTTTTGATTGATAATGAATAGTTTCGACACAAAAAAAGTCCTAAAATTGAAAAATCTCGATTTTGAACACCCTATATCTCTGTATTCATTCCTGCTGGACCCCAAGTGTGATACATTGATGGAATCAGCTCTTCAGGAAAAATTCAAAAATGCAATTATATATAGAGTGTTCCATTCGAAATAACAAAGTTGCTAGTTGTTTCTGATGGAAGTGGCAACACCCTGTATATGAGAAACTGCGAAAAAATCAATATAATATCGAAATTCTAGCTCATTCATGAACCTAAAATCAATTTTGGACTGCGACTGCGTTACCACGAATTTCATGTCAAAAAAATTACAAATTCATACGTCTTGCATATTATGTAAGGACCCTCGTATGGTCCCTAAAAGATTGGCAGAACTTTATATCAAGTAGTATTCCAATTTGTGTAAAATGAACCCAGGCTAATGAAAGAAAAACAATATATTTTGCATCAAAATCCGTTTTCAACTTCCGCCAAATTTTAAACTCTCATGCACAGTATACACTGTAAGAGTTACACTCGGAGTTACACAATAGACAGGCTATGAATCAGGTGACATATTTGCTAATTTTCTCGTGAATTTCAAGAATTTTAAAATCATATCGGTATCTATAGATTCATCAACATGGCGCCACAGCATGGCCTAGCTTATTTTTGGAAGACATATGTGTTGTGACGTCACGTCAGGTGATTGTTTTATATTTACATATTACGCTATCGTTCTACTCCTATAAAACGTACAGTCGTCTTCAGAGATCATGTCGCACAAGGACGGTGTCATCTCTCTTGATCACCGCTGCAATAAGAGCGCTCATACCAGCCAACCGCGACATGTTCGTTGAAGACAACTGTACCTATATCGACGTCTCATTTCCCAGACATAACTATGATTGTAACCTCGATTGTAACCAAACGTATTGGAGCGTTTCAAAAATATCGCATACCAATGATATTTTACGTTTTTGACAAGCTGACAACTATTCGAAAAATCTAGAACAAACATATTTACCTTAGTATTTCTACAACAAATTGGCCTGAAGATTATAATTGGTGTCAGAATCGAATAATTAACAGGGCTTTGCACAAAATCTATTGTTGATAATAAAATAGAGTTTTTCTTCGGCTATAACAAGAAATTGTTCTTTTTTTTTCTGTTTTCGATGAATCAAAGTATCAGAGAGGTACATTGTATGTTATTATTCCACAATAAATGTCATCTCTCCCATGAAATATCAAATTTTTAGCAATGACAGGATGGTTACAAGCCGAAGACAAACTTCATTCTCGTGGGACATGTTTATCATTCTGTGCTCGTTAAACAATATACTATTTTCTACGGCTATAACACAAAATTGCTCTTGTTTTACTGTGTTCGATACATCAATGAGATATTTCGTATGTTATCAATTTTATTTCCGTATCTGATCACATTGTGTTTTATTTCAAAAAAATCTCATCGCTCATGGAATGTCAAACTTCAGGAAATTATAGCTCTGTCTGCATTGCTTGACAGGAAATCAGATGGCTACAAAACGAAGAAATCGAAAATGCCGCTGTTATCTATTATTGCCGTAGAAAAATTATGGCGTATAACTGGCAAGGAATGCTAATTTCCTACTCGAATGATTGCAGCATTCATATAGCTTATGCTGCAAACTTCATTCTCGTAGGAAATCACTATCATTCCGTGTTCGTTAAACAATATACTATATTTGAAGGCCGATGAGTTTCTGAAGTTTGACGGATAATTTCAATATAATGAACGAAGAAATTGAAGAAAATATATTAATACCAGACTTCATTAACAATACCTGTATTACAGATTGGCCAAACTTTCAATCTGGAATTACATTCCTGAATTATTTCAATAAACAGGAGTAATAGTTGTTGATTAACCGACAAAGTGACCTTATCTTAACAAATTCTAGAGAAGATACAGAAATTGTACAATCACTAGTTGGTGGTCTGATAGGAATTCCAATAAGATCACAAACTTCAATCGCCAGCATTCTGTGGGAGGGCAGAAATATAAAAATAAAAACTCAAGGAAGTGATAGCAAATGCATTTTTGAATTGATTATAAATGACAGAAAGATTGCCATCAAATCATCATGAGCTCCCCCATGTTGCTGGATTCACCAACCAATGGATCTTCATTCAAATGATCGATTGTTCAACGATTCTAACAACAATATGATGAAGATCCATCAATCTATGTGAAGTACGTGACCTTGATGGACGTCACCGTTTGATTTTGGGAACACGGTATAATACAGATTGTTTGCCGAATCGTTACATATAGGGCATGTGAATCGCAATATGATTCGGCTATCTTACGTCTTCGCTAGTCTCTGGGAATATCCTAAGCCACAGCCTCCGATCAACTGTGTAGGTATCCGCGAATAAAAAATTTACGTGGAATTCTGAAAACAACCTGAAAAAGTATGTCTACCAGAAATTCTTGAATTTGTATGAATATCACTATACTTCAACGTTGAAAACCTACTCCCCAGAAGTCGATAGTTATGCGAGACTAAGTGGAGCAAAAATCATCAGGCGATTGCTGGATTCGAAATTCCGTCAAATCGCTTTGACTCCTGCGCTCCCAGTATTTTTCTCATTGAAGTTCTCAAATTTTCTCAGAAATCAAATAGGTACACTGATACTTAAAGTATTGAAAAAACTGTATTGCCTAGTGATATGTTTAATGTTTTGATGATGAATATTACCTGAAATAGTTTGCTAGAGCGTCCGCCACCCTGAGGGAGACATCTTGAATGTCCATATTTTTTGGTCTCAAAATTAAAAAATTCCGGCCTAGCTGTGCATTTTTAGACAAATAGAAGAATAAATAAGAAAGTCGCTCGCCACCCTGCAAACGCCATCTTGAAAGTTTAGGCTTTATACAGGGTGTTCCTTACAGACATGCTAATATTGGAGGGGGCGATTCTCTGACTCATTTTAGGAAGAAAACTTCATATGAACGGCTGTCCTAAGAGTCTTAACTTTTGTGATACAGGGTGATGAAGTTTTGAAAAATATTCAGTATTTTGATAGTAACTAATAACGCAATATTGTATATTAATTCCCTTGAAATTTGGTATTATGTCTTTTATGCATCGATGTGCCTTTTCTGATGTACAAAAATTTTCATTTTCTCTACCAGTGACACCTTAACAGGAAAATTATTGTTTATATTTTACTTTAAAGTGAGCAACGACGGAACTTTTTGTTGATACTCGATAGAACTCTTCGTTTTCGAGAAAAAAAGGAAAAACGAGACCAGACTTAATGTTTGAGTACTCCATTCAGAACATCCATCACTGGATAACCACCGTATGTAACATTTTGGAATTCGTATACCGATTCAGTCACATAGCACACGAAAAGTTATACAGGGTGGACGAAAAATAATCTATGCACATTTTCAACATTGACACCCTGTACCTCAAAAGTTAGAACGTTCACGACATATGTTCATATGAAGTTTTATTCTTGAAATGGGTCGAAGAATCAGCCACTCGAATATTAGCATATCATTGAGGAACACCCTGTATAGTAGTAGTAGTAGTAGTAGAAACAGCTATAAGATACGAAATTTTGGTATGGGGTGGACTGTATGACAATGAAATGTATTGAACCAACTCGCTATAATACAAAATTATATTTTAAAAATTATATATTTCGAAAAGAGAGATTTTTCAGCAGCATTACTCT